CAGTAATGATAAATAAATAAAAGTACAAGGTAAATTGTATTTACATGCATTTCTACATCCCACCATCATGTCTAGTACCTGTCTCTAAACATGGTTATTTTATTATAATGATTCAAGGTTATTTACTGTCTTCAGTAATGATGAATAAATAAAAGTACATCTAGAAATAGGTAAATTTGATTATTCATGATCATGGTTCCTTATATATTCTGTGTATATCTCTTGTATGGTTTTCTGTGCTTTATGATTTCCAATGTATAGAACTAAAGATGTTTGTTTTCAGTGATCAGTCTTTGTTTACAACACCTAGAGATAATAGTGAAAACCACCAAGAACTGTTCATATCATCAACCTGGCCATAGGTCACTAGTTTTATCGAGGTTTAGACCTTAGACAATAATTCTTGTGTAAATGTTGATTTGCAATGATATTAAGGGAGATTCAACTTTCTAGTCTGAATGCTAATTTCAGAGGAAATCCAGAGGCTCTTTCGCCGCCAAGGATATTCATTCAAAGTCGCCTAGTTCAACATAGTTTCTCTAGTCCGGTCCAGCCAAGTCATCGCCAAGAACAAATATCGTTTTTAAGACGAAGAGAATCCTTCTTTAGTTATCTACAGATTGGGTTTTCCGCCTCACTCACGTCTTTGGCTTTGGTTTATGCTGACATATGACTAATCAAGAGGAGGAGGGATTGACTCATTAAACATATACAAGAATAAAATGTTACATATTTCCTGAAACATAATCTTGGTCTGCATAAACGTGATCGGAGACTAACGTGCGTGTCTGTATGTAGAGTGACATTTATGACGAAACACAGAGTCATCCTAAAACGGGTAATTTTGCCATGTCATGCTCTCCCAGGGAGGTTCGTAGACACAAGAAACTCCTGGTAACCATTGAATAATAACTCAGTAAATGAGAAAAAATAAATTATTCGAGAAAGGGGACACTGCTTTTACCTTGGAAAGTCCTCGCCGAGCGCACCGAGGCGGGACAAGCTGCGAACCCAAATCACCGTTTTCTGTAAGAAGTATTTCTTGGGGTAACGAGGCTATTCTCGCGAGTCATTACCTGCGTCGAATGAGGGTGAAGTTGATTTTGGTTTTCTTTTTTGGGGGGGTCAGTGTTATTAGTTCATTAATTGGCTTGTCGGCAGGATTATCCCGGTAGTTATTTGATGAATTGGTGTGAAAATGTATGATTGGGTTAGCTTTGGCCCAAAAACCTATTAGTTATTGATGGTACAGGTCGAGGCTCTAGACTGAAACAATCTCTGTAGAATATTTCAATAGAATAGTATAATAGTAATAATAATAATAGTAGTAGTAGTAGTTGAAATATTCTCTGTAGCAATTCTCATAATAGTAGTAGTAGTAGAATAGAATGTAGAATATCTGTATAACTCATACTTAAACGGTCGGTAAGTGAATAAGTGTTCTCTTAAGAATTTTCGTTAGAACACATATTGTGGAACTGCCCTCTCACATTCATTTCTAGTTAGTACTTTCCTTTCAAATAGAACCTGCAGCATTTGACTATAGATACGAGTATTACTCCTAAAATCACTTTAAATATTTGCGTGCAATATTCCGAGGAGTCATTTATGCTTTAGATAGAAAATTATGGCTCCCACGATAAGAATTAATGGAAAAGTTAAGCGTCCATCCTGACAACGAACTGAAGTGAACAAGCAACAGCGAAAAATACAAGATCAATGTTGCTTCCAGAAGAGTCTACATTGGCAGCGAGAAACCATGAACCACCGCGGGAAGAGTAACAAATGACTAACATTTCTTTCTCGAACCGCTCGCTTGAATCATTTAGTTAATGAAGAAACTTTCTTGAAGATAAAGCCTACTTCGTAAATACACGAAACCGTTTAATTTAATGGATTTACACCCCCACACTTGCCTGTCGTATCCGTATGCTTGCTACCACAGTATATGATCGTGGTTCCGACAGAGATACTGGTTCCAAACACTAAGCTCATAGCATAACAGAATAGTTTGTGATGATAACGAGCTCTTTTAGAAGAAATAACATTTGCAGTATTACGAAAATTAACAACGGGGTAGTATAGATAGTAATAATTGTATTAATAGCGCAAATAGCAATGTATAATGTGTGTTTGTTTGTGTGTGTGTATGTGTGTTTGTGTGTGTGCGTGTGCGTGTTTATGCTTATTTTACTAATTATTTTTTATTACTGGGGAGAGGGGCAGATATTTGCGTGGAAAATAATGAACTATATATTTTTTTAGATACATAAACAGCTATTCACACCTTTCTTCATACACATATAAATTAAAATTGGATTTGCCATGGAAAATAATTTCAATTCGGAAAAAAAAACTAATATAAGCGGACTTTTTGGGCGTGGGATGACCAGCACTTCCAGAACAGGTATTCCCACGTAGGTTATATTCTTTTAAATGTTTATCATAAATATTACAAAAGCTTCCTGCTATATCTGAGCATGCAAAGTATAATCTCGAG